CTCTCTCTCTCTCTCTCTCTCTCTCTCTCTCTCTCTCTCTCTCTCTCTCTCTCTCTCTCTCTCTCTCTCTCTCTCTCTCTCTCTCTCTCCGCCTAGCCGCTCCACAGCGCGACGTCACCGATGTGAAGTTCTGTCATTCGCTCTTTTCAATTTCCAATCCGCGCGGGAAGATAGGAGGGGTAATTAGTAAACGCCTCCCCCCTCTTCACTCATCATCTTTCTCTCCCCACCTCCCTTCTCGACTCTTTCCTATTCCTGCACGTTTTCAGGGCCAATTCTGCGCGGTTTTTTAGTCTACTACCGTAATTCTCTCCGAGATGTCCTCCACAGACGGAACACCACTTGCCTCCTTTCGCGTTTTTTGAGCCTACTACCGTAATTGCCGCCAATATGTCCTCGAGAGAGGAGGGAACCACCTCTCTCTCTCTCTCTCACACACACACACACACACACACACACACACTCACAAAAACACACATACACACAGACACACAGCAGGTTCCAACTCCAATTGCAATTTGCAATTCCAATTCGCGCCCAGTGGCTCAGGCGTTTGCCACGTGTCTTCCTCGAAGGACAACGGAATGAAGCGGGGGAGAGAAAGGAGAAACTCAACTCCCTCCCCCTCCCTCTCCACATCCAATCCACCTACACGGCCAGAGACGCGCGCGATCGAGCGTCCAACCAGGCCTGCTTCTTTGCGAATCAGTCACTACTCTTTCCTGTAAACCAGGTCTGGGCTACGTTCCAGGTCCGTCGCTTCCCCCTCTTCCCTCCTCCTTTCTCCGCCCACTTCCGGCCCCGCCCTCGCCCCTCCCTCCCTCCTCCGGAGCCTCCCCGCTCCGCCCTCACCCCTCCTCCCTCCCGTCGTCCGCGCCTCCCGCGCCTCCCGCGCCCTTTCGACTGACTACTCCCCTGCTCTCCGCCCCTCAGGCCGACTGTTCCCTCCGCCCTCCCCCGCTCAGGCCGATATGCCAAACCCGCGGCACGGAGACAAAAATTATGGCGTCGTATCTTTCTATGTTCAAGCTGAAGATTCATTCTCATTTTGCACAATTTGTGAATGAGTAGTAGAGCGAGATTTCAGCGAGGAGGCCGCGGTGATACTTCCTGGCTGCGACTACACCCATTGCGTTTTGTCGTTTTGTGGAGCTTTCCATTTCGGGTAATGTTGTGCAGTCCAATGAAGCTAAGGGCCTCGTTGGCCACCACTCAAGGGCGGCCCAACTCAGGGAGGGTGAGTAAGGAGCTGATCCGACATTACATAGGGCCTCGTTCCACTACCCTCGACTTGAAAAAAATCTCAAGGGCAGCCCTACGGGCGCCCTTGAGCCAAAACGAAAAAACAAGAAGTCCCTAAGAAGAAGGCAACAGGTCGGACGGGGCGGAAAAGCGAACTGGGACCCCACAGAGGCGGGTTCGGCGGGTCTTTCCCAACTACCGCTGTGGGTTTCTTTGGGATTCTACGAAGTCGGACGTTCCTGTGGCCCGCTGTTCGCAGCCCGTCAGGGTTGCGTTTTCCCCCCCGAGACACACCCACCCACACAT